CATTTCGCCGAGACGGCGCCCTTCCTGCAACACGACAAACACCACTCCCCTTTACTTAGAAGGCCACTTCGATGGGAGCCATTTGATCCTGGATGTAATCCCGACCGTACGCATGATTTGTTCATTTGCCACCAGATCACTTCCGCCTACCATCCCTGATAGATATACCCACGAAGGACCACCATAAATACTGAACAAGCGAGCCTATCTAGAATTCTAATAGACGAAACAGCACTCAGAAATTATTCGTTATACACAGACTAGTAATGGGAAACAAGAGATGGCTGGTCGATAATAGAATTGCCAAGAAGGGAAGTGAAGATAAGAAGGAATATGTGCTCGAAACAACTGTTCACTGTGCCTGTTCTGTTTCCCCCACACAAAATCGTCTTTCTAACCGATGCCGCTTTCACTCAGCCAGTCCTTCATAAGTACACAGCAAAACATTGCGAGAAAATGTTGACAAAGGTACGACAGAGGGTGCTATACAAGTAGGGTGGGCACGCCGCATTTTTTGAACAGAAATGTATGTAAGTGGGACTGCTGCCCGCTACTATACTGTCACGAGAATCGGGGAATTCGTGAGCCAGGGGGAGTGTAGCCAATCTAGGGGGGTGGGGGAGGGCAGTCACTTGACATGCGTGAAAAGCTGGGCGTGCCCACCCCACTTGTATAGAGCCCCAGGGAGATTTGTTTTAGCTGGGGAAAAATCCCAAAAAAGTCCGCATAACCTGGCGGAAGCAAATCCAGCTTTTATCGCTGTTCCCGATTGTTTAAATAGGTGCCCCTATCCCGGATAAAGTTGACACACTACTGTTACAACCACATGCTCTACTTGCCTGGTCCTCCACTTTGCGAGGCTAAAAGCCTCTGCTAAGAGCCTACTTATCAGAAACGCGCCCCAGTGCCAAAGCCGCGACGCAAGCGCGTCGTACTCAGCAGGGTGAACTGCATTATTTCCCTCGTCGTTATACATTGAGCCCAGCATGTTTTACATCCTTGAAGTGATGTTTATGAACAATGTTATCAAGTGGTGGCGCATCGAACAAATGTTGTTGTATGACCAACAACAACCAACAAACAAACCTTGCCACCAGCGACTGTCTTTTTTTTTTAGAGATCAGCGTTCTAGTCCTATCATCGATTGAAACAAATAGTCAAACGATTCATCACACAAGCACGCAATCCTAAATAACCAGAAAACAGAAAACTTCACGAGCAGTTTAAAACTACTTTTGACAAAATTCCCTCTCGGCTTTGAGGAGCGGTGGGAATTGAAACTTGGAGGCAATAAAGTTTCCATCCTGTACACAGGTCTAAAAGTAAAAAGCAAGGCAACCAGGGGCCTTACCTGCAAAAAAAAACTGCCCCCACAACGAATTGACGACAATTGTGGTGTCTTCTTGGGATTACACACGGCACACTTTGTCGCACGACCTTCTTTTTCTTGAAAAGCATCGCGGGAGGCGAGAGTTACTCTGTATTAGTTCTCATCTAGTTTCTTCGACTCGCCATCGTTCTCCTATGAATCTGCTTGACTTACTTGCTAGGTATATGTGTAATAACTGTTTTCGCTAGTCAGGACTCCTTAATCGTCTAACTAGCTCTATAATCAATGATTGAATCGAACCAGTGGCCGGATTCGAAACTTGGTGTATGGTGATAACTAGGTTGGTTAGCGATCTGCGGGCTCGTGACTACGGAAACGGCGTTCATCTTTGACGTTACCGCTCGAATGGATGTTGTATTCGTTAGCAGGACCCATCACCTTCACTTCCTTTGTGCAGCGCTTCCCGAATTGGTGGTGCAAAGTGTGCATTGGTGCTAGCTTACTGCATTCCAGACCGGGGTCCCGCTTTTTTTTCACCTAATGCTCTATTTCGGAAGACGAGGACTGAGGCGGTCGAGTGCAGACCATACACCAATGTGACGGTTGGCCGTCGTCACTTGTGGTGTATGGTCTGCACCTGACGCTTTTCTCGTCTTCCGGAATAGAGAGCACTTCCTCTCTCCCGTACGACAACGTATAGTTGCAGGTACGCGCTCCCATAACCTCTTGCGCTGTTGACCTTTTCGATGAGAAAGTTCAATGAACTCTTTCGTAACTTGAAAGGGCGTGAGATTGCGGCCGCATCTTTCCGCCTCAGTAAGACTAATCCCTTTTTCGCTGGAAGGGGAAGCTTTGGGATGGGTGAACTGTTTTATGTGTAAGAAGGAAACCAAGTGGGTTTTTTATGGGTCGGAGCTTTTGGGTGCTTTCGTGTTGATCCACCCCTTCTCGAGCCCTTCGAGCATGCATGCACCCTTTGTAATACACTTTCTTTTTCCATAAGGCAATGTCTCGCAAGGTTTTTTTTGTTGCTGACGGAATGGCATACGCTCCTTATTGTACTTGTGTATGTACGTTTCACACTGATTCTTTTTTTCTAGAAAATGCGACGATGGAATTCCAGCAGTCGTGTAATAGAGAACTGCGTTGCTATGACAATACGAATGTGCTCCTCGTCGTCGAAATCAGCAAATGTTCAACGACCTGCTTATTACCGGAAACCTCACCAGCATCATAAACCAACACATATGCTTCAGGAAGAATTCCCAGTAAGTGGTTTCGAGAACTTCAGGATAGTTCACAGTATTCCATAGGGACGTTAGAACAACACTAACACGAGGGGTGGAAACCATCGTTTTTCTTTATTCTCTGGTCAGTCATACTTCAAAAGTTGAAGGCGGAAATGGTGTAGTAGCAAAAGGCGCTGCTTACCACGCGAGCGGTCCGGGGATCAAATCCTGGGTCGTGAGTCGCCCGGGCCAACCAAGCCTTCCATCCCTCCGGGGTCGGTTAATTGGTACCAGACTTGTCTGGGAGGATAAAAACACTGACTTGACATCGGCTGGCCCCCGCAAGTCATTGTATAGGCCACATCGCATTCAAATGCACTACGTTTGGAATGCGTGCCGCATCCCAAAACGGGATTGATCAACGGCAAATGCTTTATCCTTTCATCTTGTCCTGAACCTTGTCTTGAAATTTCAACATAGACGTCATGTTCAGCATATTGCTAGGCTCGAATTTAATTGGTTGAGGTAGCAGTTGCTACATCTACGTCCTCTGTTATTCATAGGACCAGCGACTTATTTTGGTTTTAGCCTTTTGACTCTGTTATCAGAAACGTCCTCAACTCATATATTTAAAATCAAAAAGTGACTCTGGTTTGTGTTTACATGAGGGCGTATTACACGGAATTCTATCACTATTACTGTGGCGCTCGACTCATGAGCCAAATTTTCTTTCGAATAGTCGCTCAACTTCTTCCGAATGTGGTCTGCGTTCTTGAAGAGACTTATTTTCCATTATGATGGCATAAAAAAAGGCAAACAATAGTCACTAGAGCACCGTTTCCTTTCATTCTTTTTTTCAGGTTATGGTGGTGGGTTGCAATGTTCAGTAGAGTAACGAAGAAATTTCTAGGCTCCTGTAAATCTCTACCTGTCCATAGATCCTGGTGAAGTTCAATGGCTTGCAATTCTTTTAACTGTCTCAATGTTAAGGGGCAGATAGTGAATCAACTCCTGAGCATGAAGTACCATCTCTATTTACTTCACCGAGTAGATGAGCGAACTGAGAAAGACCGCCATATGTCTTTTTTCAGTCAGGGCCGCTCTAGGCACCCAGGTTTATAGACCGTCTGTGTAGCATTCGTTAGCATTCATTATCAGTTTCATTACATTCATCATTTGAATCTACAAATTAAATAAAAATCAAATAAATATGGTTTGAAGACTTTGCTGTGTTACAGAACGCTGGCGATGCCTCTGGAGCCGGTGTGCGATTGTATGATTACTATAAAACAGCGGAATACGTCAATCAGTTGCCAACAATAAAAGAGAAGATTGACTTTGTGAGCCCATATGAGCGCCCATGGACTAGAGCGGAAAGGACATGGACGTTGGTGGTTTGCCCATATGTCGTCTCTTCACACCTGATATTACTCGGATTGCATCCAAGTCTCATGATTCCTCGTAAAGCGTGGGCCCTGCCTTTAGTTCCGGCTTACTTCGACTGTCTTAAGTACTACCAGTACATAACAAAGACACGTCTTGTGGAATCGTCGCTTGACAACTACTATGTTGGGCTTGTTCCTCCAACGGCTAGCTATGAGGTAGGTCTTTTTCTGCGCATTTCTCTTCTTTTCTCTTTTTCTTCCGTCCTACATGTAATTTATCTGTGTTGGCCAATCACTTTGTCAAAATTAATGGCTCACTACTAAAGTAGATGTCGTTAATACACCCCAGATTAGGACTACTGACATTAAACATCCGTGGAGCTGGTAGATCCGTTCCACGAATGACCGTGCGCCAGTTACACAGTTTCCGAGTAAAGGACAGCAACTAAAGCGTGCATTCTCGCCCATCCAGGCTGGAGGAGTCTAAACCTATCCATCGCAGCATTCTTTCTTTCTCTTACAAGGCACGGCTCTTCCGCGTTCCTCGTCTCCTGGCGCGCTATTCCCCATCAGCCAAGCTGGACATCAAGGAAAGGTTCTAAAATTCTTCTCGCGTTTTCGATGTTCATGGCTTCTTTTCACTGTCAGCCATTCCACATTCATCCTTCCTTTACAGACCAACTTTATCTCGACGCTGTTTTAGACCGTGGAAAGTTGAAAGCGATCCCAAATAGATCGAAGCTCACTGCATAGATATTCCTTTTCTCATCAAAATAACACTACCTGGCTTACGGTTCGTCGCTCGATCTGCAGGGAAGACAAACTAGCCCTTCATCCCCCCCCCTCCCTCTCTACACTTTCGGCTTCTAGTGATTTCATCTCAATTCAAATATACTAAACTGGAAAAGTACGCTGTTGCATTCAACTGTGTTAAGTTGTTTCAGACTAACAGTATTCCAGAAAGCGGGCAAAGTAAAGTCTTTCGGCAATCCTTCACGAGAACATTTAGCTCAGAGGATGAGCGAGCTCGGCGATTCGCTCTGATCGATCTATGACCTATTCTACTTAGCTGTCCAATGGCCATCGCTTGTGACTATAGGACCTTGATGTCATTGCTCACGATTTACACTTCACTCCTCGCATTTGTAGTCGCATATGCGAAATACATAATGAATCATTCTCGATTGTCCGCAGCGAGTCATGGCCTTTAGACAAGCAACTGATGCATGATACTGTGGAAAGGATTTGGAAAGGAGTAGAGCTTGCAAGTACACAGAGACGACAGCAATTAATCATGGAGCAGCACTACCAGGAACCATTCAAATTCCATGAACTTTTATGAGACCAGCCTACTATCGACTAGAGCTTCAGTATACACTATACAAATATGAAGCCAAACTGCAAAATGAGCCTGCCAAGGAAGTTGTGAGTGGTCAAAGTTGGCTCTAAGAAAAGCATATGAACCGTGCTATGCTCCAGGCTTTCAGGGTCGCCGCGGAGCAGCGATAGTGCCACCGCTCTCCACCCTGGAGGCCATAAGTTCTCCTTGTGGAGTCCCAAAATTAAAGAGCCTCAATGGCCCACGAGCCACCAACCCGTAGAGAAAAGCACGGTTAGACGTACCGCTTCCTTAAACCAACTTTGATGCTCACAACTCCCTTGGCCGCCTCATTTGCAGGTTTTAAATTTAGATGCTGTAATCACGTCAAACTCCTATCTTATTTGAATCTCATTCACAAGTCCACGAGATTGAATGCCTTTCTCGGTTAGTGTAATCTTAGCCGTGTTTGAGGGATAGAGTCAAGCGCAAAAGAACGCAAGAATCAGTGATGGGTGAAGAAGTGAAGCAAAGACGACTCATATGAAACTTATGTAAGCCATGCTCTGTAGTATTTTGGAGGGAGTGTATAGCATACAATTAAAAAAATTATAGGAGAAGGAAGGGAAAAAAAAAAAAAAAAAAAAAAAAAAAAAAAAAAAAAAAAAAAAAAAAAAAAAAAAAAAAAAAAAAAAAAAAAAAAAAAAAAAAAAAAAAAAAAAAAAAAAAAAAAAAAAAAAAAAAAAAAAAAAAAAAAAAAAAAAAAAAAAAAAAAAAAAAAAAAAAAAAAAAAAAAAAAAAAAAAAAAAAAAAAAAAAAAAAAAAAGAAAGCACACCCTTTTTTTATTATTATTGATTTTTTCGTGATTACTTAGCTGATTCGATGTGCTCTTTTGCCGTTCCAGTGTTTGTACGCAATTCATTTAAAAAGTGCTAAAACTTTTTATTTTTGGTACTCATCAATTCGTTCTGATCTCTTGTTTAGTGGCTGCTTCAAGCCATACCGCACCGGCAGTTCCGTAGAAGCATTTCTTTCCACCTTTCTTAATTAGTGAATACTGATGCATCGATAATCATAGCAATGGTGAAAGGTTACGCAAGATTGTGTTTAGGCGGAAGCTGGGTGAACTGGCCTTTGTCTGTCGGGATCGCTTGGCTGTTCAGTTGAGATCTCGCGACCCCCTTGCTCCCCTACATTCACTGGAAAGCGACGAAGCCTGCAAACCGGTGTTTCCTGACGACGTGGACGTTGCCAACGATGTGCTCTTCTCACCCAAGGTTGGTAGTGATGAAGCGTGTTCGTTGCTAACGCTGTCGTGCAGTTTACCAAAGTCTTTTCAGTATTATTTCTGCCTCCTCGTGTCCTTTTCGAACTTCATGAACCTTTTGGAAAAATCTTAGTTCATCCATATTGAAGCCCAGTATTCAGGTTATAAACTTGTGGCCTGACGAAGATCCGTTATGGCAATGTCCGGGATACTTTGTGGAGTCAGGTACTACTACTTTATCTTGATGCATAGTATTATAATTCCCAATAGTAACTTGCCATGACTAGTATGATTACTATCGATATTCAGAGGAAACCCACACCTATAGCCGTGTAGCTGCCAAGTCTCTGTCTCTGCTCGATGAAAGATGCAAAGAGTGGGACGCACCACCAGAGGAGAGTGCGGAAATGTGGCAAGATTGTGCCAAGGCGCAAGCAATTGCCTCGCTTTTCACAACCCTCTGTGCACAAGCCCATACTCATGGTACGCGATAGTTCTGCTTCTTCTTTCCTACAGGCTGAACCTTTCGATGAGCACTTTTTAGGCTTCACTCAATACACTGACGTGACGCGTCCGTTCACTTCTCAGCTAATGCTTTCAAATGGTGTTGATTTTGTCTTCGCTGTTGGGCAACTAAACACGATCGCAATCAACATCGAATGTGATGGTGAGCTTCTAGCGAATTTATCTCCTTCAGCGGTTCTGTTTTATTTTTGGGAGGCATATGAGCAGTAAGTGGTTGATCCATTACCTAAGTAGAAACAATTGAGTGTTTGAAAACTGCGTTCATTGAGTGTGATTTGAAGGATTGCAGAAAGTTGCATCATTTTTCACAATATCTTTCATTGTGGAGTTGTTGCACTTATCTCTTGCTAGATAGTTTTTTTTGAAGGCCAGTTAGTTACTAAAGCAGCTGTAGTAATACGAGAGTCAAATATATTGTACCTGTCTAGGAACTTTCAGCAAATGTCTGCCCTGGGAAACCGTTAGAAAACCTTAGGAAGGATTTAGAACATTTTACCGTCTGCAGTTGACCTTGGCGTGGTTTATAAAACTTACTTTTTTTCGTTTTTTGTTTCACTTATCAAACATTCTGAGAATCAAGAGCAGTTGCTGTAAAGGTGCATCCAAATTTTGGGGGATGCTAGCTTATTAGAATTATATGGGTCGCTGCGTTCGAATAATAATCTTCCATACAGCCTACTCCTTGATGTTTTCATTATTACATCTATTTTTACTGCAGAACTATGTTGACGGTGACGGTGTATAATCGAAAAGGAACACATTTACAGGTTTCGAAAACCCGAAAACCAACGTTTGTCACGTCGAGCCTCCTCTACGATTGTATGACGACTATCGAGAAGGAAGGTTCTACCACATGACTCCGGAAGGTGAGAAGGAAGGCCTGAATTCTCAAGTTTTATTAAGAGTGCTTCAAATGTTGTTACGGGATTAGATGCTGAAGACTAGACTGTTGTAATTTTATGTATTTTATACACAGATCGCTCACTTGACGATGTTTGTACATTATTCTTAATATATAAGTCCATTTATAATTTTCCGTTAGCTTCTAGTTTCATTTTTCCGTTTGATGTGAACTTCTGTTATTTTAATAGGATAGGATGATATATTGTTAATTTGTTGATCGTCAATGTTTGAATAGAATAAAGATTATAACTTTTTATGGGTTTTCTCAAAGATCCTTTGCATAGGTGTACACATGCTTTCCGTCCCTTGTTTATCTTATTTATTCATGAATTGGTTACAGGCAATAATTTAGTAAGTAGCTCGTCACGGTCATATGCTTTGGAATGCGTTTTCTACCGAACGTCTTTATTTCGTATTTCCCATTATTTCTGGTTCTTAACACGATATTCTTCAATGAATATTTGATATATTTCGTCAAAATTGGGCTCACCTGCAACTGGCCGTGTGATGGTGTCAAGTGAGTTTTCGATCACCTTGTGAACATAACCTGAGTAAAAAAATTGAGCGCTACATAAGCTTTCAAAAACACATTCACTCATTCTGGAAAGATCTGGTGGTTAGAGACAGGAACAATTTCAGATGCCTAACGAACGAACTTCGTGTTTTCTTTATCTCCGACACTCATCTGTTAGGTGAACGACAGGGTCACTGGTTTGATAAACTTCGAAGGTATTTTTCTCGACTTGGTTTTTCAGTTTTACCGGTTGATGTGCTTGGCGTCGAACTGAAATGTGCGCCTTATTTCCCTCCTATCATTCAAGAAATACAAAAAGAAAATGTGCATAGAAGCACTGAATGGAATTCGATCTTTGAGGGTGGGACGCAGTGCTTGTCTTGATGTACTATGTGAGATATTTGCATTACTTCCTATTCAACATTGGGTGTTCGCAGCGTTTTTGGATAACCACATCGTGAAGGCTTTGATAACATTTTCGATAAGAATGAAGATCCAACCACAAGATCAGATCTTATGCAGCAGCGCGAATCGCAGGTTTCAATGCTCGCCGCTCCATTTGTCGTGCCGTTTTTCCATACGCTATTTTTCTTTCTACTCTTTTGCGCATTAACCCTTTATTATTACCAGATTAGTCCCCCGTCAACCGCCGGGACCTTCCTTTCCTGCGCAAGCTTTCTATCCTCCGCTATGGTCCCTTCCTCCTGTGACACCAACACCTCGTGGAAGTGACGCGTATGCAACACAATGGTGTTTCAAACAGTAGAAGGGACACAATCATGATATGACGGTAGATTTTTCGCTTCCCTTCCTCATCCTCCCTTCCTCTCTCCACTGCCCTCCAGCTGCCACTGCAGCACCATGTGGAATGAACGGAAGTGTGCTAAGCAGGTGTTTATATAGCCCTAAGAGTGTTATCACAACTATCCTGCTACAAAACATTGATATCTCAAATCCTGTAAGCTACCCGATTTGTTAGCGGTTTGTTTATCCCATGAGCTTCCTTCTCACTCACTTCATTTTGCGGACGGACACACATACATACACACACACACACACACACACACATACAGATACACAAACCGACACACAAAGTTAGCGCTTTATAAATAGAAGGATTATATATTGGTCTGCGTGGAAGGGGAGTGGCAAATGTATCGTGCTTACCAATCAGCGCTCCACTTACTTGCTCCTGATGCCGTTTTCTTCTTAGGTACGATCTATTTGTAAGCTTAGTGAAATTTTTGGTAGTTTTTCAAGCATTTTATACACTTGAATGTGGACTACTCCAGGTGATCTTATGGACGAGGGACAGTGGGGAGATCGGAGTACATTCCACAAATATGCAGATCGTTTTGATTCGTTGTTCCGCAGCTCATCATCTAATGGACCTCCAGTTCACGTGTTGGCTGGAAATCACGACATTGGATTTCACTACGCGTACGCGTCATTAATTTTCTTTCATGAACATAACAGTCTTGGTGGTGGTATATACTGATATATTGTACAGCGGGGCTCTTTGTTGGATACGTGTCGCGTTTTCTGACCTTTGGTCCGCTTATGGCTTGAGTTAGAACTTTGATGATGATGTGATTTACTGTACTTCATATCACCCATATTCACTTACCATCTGTGGGGCTCTACCCTTGTGTAGGAAAAGCGATTGCTCACTTGCAATATGGAGCTTTTTTTGCTGATTCAACGGCACACTCCACACAATTCAATGGAATAATTCCCTCTGTGAGCATGGTAGGAGGGCCCGCGAACGCAGGATGGGTGTGGTTCACTAGGACAGAAAGCGGCTTTTTCGCGTTTCGCAGCGCGAAACATTTTCCGCTGCGGGAACCTCAGGTCCACCGCTGATCATCAGTGGACCTAGATTCCAGCAACGAACAAGAAAAAGTCGTTTTCTGTGCTAGTGAACCACACCCACGCAGGATCATGCCACTCTCGCTACCGGAAAGTGTACTGTAAATGTTCTGGGGCGGTGTCACTACCGCCGCTAATCGCCGCTCCTCTTGTACGCAAAAGAACGACGCATGTTCATAGCGGTATGTCTGGTGTCTTTTGTAGACTTG